CAGTAACCACTTACCATCAGGTGGACTGTGTGCTCGTTTGTCACCCTATCCTATATAAAAAAAGAGTATAGAATAAAAACTTTTTTAGTTACAACATCAAGAGATTATTAATAAGAACACCTTTACTAACCAGATGTCACCCTACACCCAAACATTAACCAGATGTTACGTTAGACCCAAACATAGCCTGTTTGAACCGACTCCCAAAAAGAAAGGTTATCAATATGTTTGTTCACTGATTTCTAAGCTTGATCAATTCGTATATACATGCTGAAATTTTAGTGGTTGTTGTCCCGCAGCCAAATTATACTGTCTCGATAGTAGGGTCAATTTATTAAATTAAAAAAATATTACAATTAAGAAAGGGCAGATTTACAATAGTAATACCTCACAAGCTAGTCGGGCGTCCAGACTAGTTTATGTCTTATCACTACGCTTGAGAGTTCATGTTATGAACATTTATTAGTGGCCCTTCACTGTGTAGGAAACGCGCAGTAGCGCGTGCGATAGACGTAACATTACGACATTACGTCCAGCAAATTTTTTCAGACTATATTATATTAATTCGTTATAAGCTAGCCTGCACGCCCAACCTACTTGCGAGATATTGCTATTGGTTTGAGATCGCATTCGAATTTTGTTTTTCTCGATTGTAAATTTGCCATTTTTACATCCTAATAATTTTTATTTTAATAAACCTATTGTACTACTAAGGAAAAATCATTTTACTTCGGGAAAACAACCGTTAAAATTTCAGCATATATATTGGATCAATCTGTGTGTAAATCCTTTCAAATAAAAAAAATATAAATCGGTTTAGAAATTATAGAATTCTGAGTTGAGAAACTCCTCCTTTTTTGAATTCGGTTAAAATTAAACATTACACGACGTGCTTATTGTATTCGAGCAAATTAATTGTGTTTAATAATATTCTTAAATTTTATTACATCTGCATTTTTGTACCATTAATATATGTATAATAAAGTTATATTAGTATCATCATTATTGTGCTTATTTCATTCCATTTTATATTCTCATAAAATACATCTTCGTACATAATACGTAATCTTTATTTAATCGATTTTTTAAAATTAATCAAAAGGTAATGCTTTGCACAATTTGATTACAAACGCCAAAAACTGGTATCACTGAATGGCGTGTATGTGTGCGTGTGACGAGCGCACATTCGACTCGCGCCCACTAACATAATGACTTTGCGTCATTTTAACGCTCGTGTTTTGTACTAGACTGCGTTTCTATGCGTAATAATTCTATGGGCTTAACATAAGAAAATTTATCTTTGACCATTCTGAAATCAAATTTAAATCTCTCGTTTAATATGTATTCATGGTTGTGTTATCCTTTTACCACGTTTTTATTAACTTGATTTCGTGTTTAAATGTTAGGATCGAATTTATTAATTTATTTTAAACTAACTCCCCGATGAGCTTTTTTTCCACGTGGTACAGCCAAGCTACAGTTATATTAGGGTTGTAGCACGAATGAGTCGGATCGACCAGGGAAGTACCACGTTCTTATAGAATACCAGCGTAAATTAGCAACTCAATGCTATGCTGTGTTTCCTATAATGTGTGTAAAGAACCGGAGATCCTTTTTATCAGTACCAGTCACCAGTACCAGGTACTAGTCATCAGAGGTGATAACGCATCTGTGACGTTCTTTGTTTAATGTTGGTATCCGGTGTCTGTCACTTAATATCAAATTTAAGTTACTTTGTCTCTTGATTTTTATTTAAAAAAAATATGAACAGGTTTATAAGGAAGTAGAAAAACACAAAATAATTTTAAATGTTTCCAAGGTGCGATTTACGCGGAATTTTTTGCCCCAAAAGACCACTCTGTAGAATATACTGACGCCAGGGGTTTTTTCCGGACCCATATTACTCAGGGGGTTTCAATAAAAAAGCTTACCTTACTTAAAGTCCGGTAACAAACTTGTGGTTCCTCTGGTGTTGCCAATGTTCATGGGTGACAGTGATCAATTACCATTCTTACAATAACTATATAGCAGTAGCATGGCTCTATCACGTATAAAACTTTAACAAAACACGCCAATACAAGCAGAATATTGTGAAGAAAAATGTTAATTCATTAACGTAAATTTAAATAAAACTAATTTTACGGATTTTATCGCGTATTTTAACTTGTTTTACATTCTTGACGTTTCAAGCACTTTACAGCACCTTAAATTCTAAAATTCAGTTCACAATGGAGTTAGAGGCAGATGCAGTATTACTTACTTACTTACTTACTTATCTTCACGCACAATCCCTGACGGGGTAGCCAGAGAGAACAGATCGCCAAGTGTCACGATCCTTACATATCTCTTTCGCTTCTTTCAGATTCATTATCTTCTTCATACATGCACGTCTAGGTATCCGAGTACTCTTGACCCTACCCTCTTCGAGCAATTTGCTCACATGGTCTTCGAAAGTTAGTCTCGGTCTACCTCGACACCTTTTAATATTAACTTTCGCGCTATATATTTTCTTCACCATTCGGTCTTCACTCATTCGCTCAACGTGCCCAAACCACCGAAGCACGCCCTTATCAATTTTTGTGATAAGGTCATCTTTCAAACCTGCCATATTGCGAATCTCTTCGTTTCGCTTTCGGTCGGCCATAGTAACGCCGCACATTTTACGAAGAGACCGCATCTCCACTGCATTCAACTTACTTTTATGCTTCTTCTGGCATACCCAGGTTTCGCTGCCATATAACAAAGTCGGTACCAACACTGCGTTATGTATTGCAAGGCGTGCACTCTTCGCTACGCCTTGCCTTTTGACTAACGCAGTCAGGGCACCATTGACTTTGTTCCCGGCAGCGACACGCCTGTCCACATCTAAATCACATCTTCCATCCCGGCTAAAAGCACTCCCCAAGTATACAATTTCATTTAGATGCAGTATTAAAAACAAAAAAATATATTTGTTTTTCATACTGCATGTGTTCATTGTTCGTTTTATTTAAATTCTTTAGCTTTTCTAGATGTGTTAGTAATTCGGAATCCTGATAGCACCTTGAGCCACACTGTGTATAGAAAAAAGACCCATACAGATAGATATTTAAACGGTGATTCTCACCACCATCCTTCACAGTTAGCTATTGTGGGTAAATCTTTGTTTCATAGAGCACGAGGGATCTGTGATAGTAAACACCTGGCCGCCGAGCTCCAACACGTCAAGCAAGTTTTGCACGATAATAAGCTTCGGGTCCCGCGCCTATGTCACGGTGAACGAGTGATGCCGGCCACAGTCGAGCGAGTGCCTGCTGTACTGTCATATGTCAGAGGTGTCACTGACAAGATTGGCTACATCTTGAAGCGTGCTTCCATTAAAACATATTTCAAGCCACCGAAGAAGATTAGTCAGTTTTTACCATCAGTCAAGTGTAATATTCCTCTGCAAGATGCAGGAGTGTACAAGCTTGATTGTGAATGTGGTCTCTCTTATATAGGACAAACTAAAAGATCGATAAAAACCCGCGTTAAAGAACACATAGCTGATGTGAAGAATAGACGCTCCGGGAAGTCTGCAGTCTGTGAACACGTACAGGATTGCCCTCGTCACTACATTAGATTTGATAGACCACAAATCCTCGCTAAAGAACACCGATACCTTCCAAGGATGATTCGCGAGGCTATTGAAATCAAGAAACATCCTAATTTCAATAGAGAAGATGGCTGGGTGCTACCATCTGCTTTAGAATCCATAATTAATAAAATTAAATCCCAACCTAAGCATACAACTGCCAGACTTCATGATACTGTAAGTTCATACTGCGTAGATCGGAACAAAAATTAATAATTTTTAATCTGGAGGTAGCCGTGGTTAACTATGACATTGGGACGTCATACACCTCAGTCTCCCCCATGACCATGGGTGCTGTAAAGTGCTTGAAACGTCGGGAATGTAAAAAAAGTTAATATACGCGATAAAATCCGTAAAATTAGTTTTATTTAAATGTGTAGTGTTCGCGTAAATATAAGAAATCATCATTAACGTAAATTTCTGTTTCCACCTTACACCGAAATAAAGAACGCTGTCGTTAAATTTACGTAATAAGTTTAAAATACTTTCATTAAAGTACACGGTTGTCTTCATTTCAGTTCGAGCGGAACTTTTATTATAACTTTTATTATAACTTTAATTATAACTTGACCTGAAGCAGAGAATCGCTGCTTGGGGGAAGCGGATTCGGCGATATACCGAGAGGTCGACACCGTTCAACCAGAATTGTCTCTTCCAGAGTGATCAGAAGAGGCTATATAAATCATTGGAGCGACCAATGGTACGTGGAACGGGCCCAGCACCGAATCAGGCCGACACTATTGCATTCTAGCGCGGCCTGTGGTCAGAGCCCGTAAACCACAGTGAGGGCCCTTGGACGGAAGTTGTGGCGAGTCAGTGTGCGAATGTTACGCCCATGGACCCCGTCATCGTAACGCCGGATGACGTAGCTGAGGCGGTCCTTAGGGCCCCGAACTGGAAAAGTCCGGGACTCGACGGACTGCATCACTACTGGCTGAAGGGGTTCGTGGTGTGTCACGCTGTGCTCGCCCGACAGTTTCAAGAGGCTCTCGAACAAAAGTCGCTCCCAAGCCTATTCACTACTGGGATCACTCATTTCGTTCTTAAAGACCAGGATTCCACAGACCCGAGCAAATACCATAACGTGTCTACCTACCATATACAAGACACTAACATCCATTTTGAGCGCGAGAATCACTCGTCACCTGAACTCAAATCAGGTGATGTCGCGGGCTCAGAATGGATGTCGGGGTGGTGGTCGTGGAACCAAGGAACCACTCCTCATTGCGCGGTCATTGGCAAGGTGGTTAAACGCAACCGTCACAGCCTCTCCGCCGCCTGGATAGACTACAAAAAGGCATTCGACTCGGTGCCTCATACATGGCTTAAGAGGGTCTAAGAGCTGAATAAGGTTAACTGTACAGTTCGAGACTTCCTCGAGCAGTGTATGGGGCAATGGAGTACGATCCTTTGTCATCAAGGCAAGCGGATGATGGCTGCGGAGAACCACATAAGGATAAGAAGGGGTATCTTCCAGGGCGATTTTTTGAGTCCGATCTGGTTTTGCCTTTCTCTGAACCCTTACTGGAGTACCTTACTGGAGGGTTTCAGGAGGAGATTTCAGCTTCGAAAAGGAGGTACAAAAGTGACCCACCTTTTCTATATGGATGATCTCAAATTATTCGCCTCCAGTCGCTCTCATCTTATGGAATTGCTAAACATCACTTGTGATTTTAGTAATTCTATTAGAATGGAGCTGGGGACGGATAAGTGTGCGGTTCTCCATGTCAAAAGGGGAAGAGTTGCTAAATCTGAGGACATAGAATTCTCTATGTCCATTAGCATAAATACCCTGTCCGAGGCTGAAACATACCGATACCTGGGTATGTCACAGAACATAGGTATCGGTGATGCGGACATGAGGCAGTCAGTTTGCGATGTGTTTTATGCACGCTTGACAAAAGTGCTTAACAGTCTTTTGTCGGGCGTTAATAAGACACACGCATATAACGGTTGGATCATGCCTGTTCTCATGTATACATTTGGCATACTCAGGTGGACTCAGACCGAACTGAACGCTCTGGATAGAAAAGTCCGCACTATTATGAAGTCCCACAGGATGCATCATCCGAGATCGTCAGTAATGAAGCTGTACTTGCCATGCATAATCGCGAAGTGTGCAGCCTCCGTAATTACTTTCTGACGAGAGCGGATAATCGGCGGAGAGGGGTAAGTCCTTTATCACAAGAAATAGGGACGTTATTTCTTGTGATAAAGGACTTACCCCTCTATCCTTAGCCAACTAGCAATGGCAAGACCCGGCAGTACAGAGCATTTCCGACCGGGAGACCGTATGGAAGGAGAACGAGCTCCACGGGAGGTTCTTCAAGGCTCTACATGAGCCTTTCGTTGACACAGTTGCCTCCCTCCACTGCCTACGTTTTGGTGACCTCTTCGGGGAAACCGAGGGTTTTGTCTGTGCAATACAGGGTCAGGTTATTAAGATCAACAACTATCGGAGATACATCCTAAAGGATGGCACCGTTGACATTTGTCAAGCTTGTCGCCATTCCGGTGATTCTCTTAGGCATGTCATCTACGGTTGTTCGGCACTTTCTAACTCTGAGTACTTGGATAGGCACAACCTAGTAGCCAGGATTCTACACCAGGAGCTCGCTCTGAAATACGGTCTCGTGAATCGGAAACTGCCTTATTATAAGTTTATTCCGGAAGCCGTGCTCAAAAATGACCGCACCAGGCTCTACTGGGACCGGACCATCATCACAGATAGGACCATTCTTGCGAATAAGCCTGATATTGTGCTAATGGACCGGGCACAGTCAAGGATATTTTTGGTCGACATTACCATTCCGTATGACGAGAACCTCGTGAAAGCCGAAACAGATAAGCGAACAAAATATCTGGACCTGGCTCACGAGGTGACCGACATGTGGGGTGGACTGCCGGCCGAAGTTATACCTGTAGTCGTTTCTGCGAACGGGTTAATCCTAGTCAGCCTCTCAGGTCAGCTGAGGCGACTGGGACTCCGTGACGGACCGCTCCAAGCTCACATGCAGAAGGCGGTGCTCCTCGATACCGCTCGAATCGTCCGCCGGTTTTTTTCCCTTTCCCCCTAACCCTCGGCCTGTTTGGTCTCCCCTGCCGTGGGCTTCCATCTGGTTGGGTTTTTATATATTTATGTATTTTTTATGTATTTATTTTATTTTATTGATATTTATGTATGTTTATATCTTTCGTTTACAATTATATATTTAAACAGCCCAACCAGATGAGAAAATTTTATAGATAACTCAATAATAATAATAATAATAACGGGTTAATCCCAGTCAGCCTCTCGGGTCATCTGAGGCGACTGGGACTCCGTGACGGACCGCTCCAAACTCAAATGCAGAAGGCGGTGCTCCTCGATACCGCCCGCATCGTCCGCCGGTTTCTTTCCCTTTCCCCCTAACCCTCGGCCGTCTGGTCTCCCCTGCCGAGGGCTTCCATCTGGTTGGGTTTTTATTTATTTATGTATTTTTTTTATGCATTTATTTTATTTCGTTGATATTTATGTATGTTTATCATTTTCATTTACAATTATATATTTATACAGCCCAACCAGATGAGTAAACTATATAGATGCCCCAAATAATAATAATATTTATTGATAAACATTATAATTTTATTATTAATTACATTTTAATTTATTATTATTGATAACATTATATTAATAACTCTTACACAATTATTTTAATCTTAACAAAAGTGGTTAAAGGGAATATTAGTAATGTTAACAGGACTATTGCTAGTTTTTTATAAAAACAAATGTCAATGACTCCATAAAATATACCTTAGATAAAGTTATACTCGTAAATATCCTCAGCGGACACAGCTTTAACTTCGTTCTTTATAAAAGTACAAAATAAATATCGCGCTACAAGATATACGGCTAATTTTTTCCGGCTGTGTACAAATACAAACAAGCACCGGATGCTCCAGTGTACTGCTGTATAGCTCACGTAAGTGTTATTTACCTGTAGAATACTCATGTTGTACGCTTAGACCGCTCTTTGTAAGTGCATAGTCTTTATTCAGGGTTGGCAATAATGCAGTTAAATGCTTTTTTTACACACTTTTAGCGGCCAGAACTCCACAACGTCTTATGTGAACCGAACAATAACCGAGGCCTGAATCACGCTATTGAAGTTTGTGTAACAATGAACATGAATTGAATTATTTTTTAACACGCTTTTATTATTTTTTATTAGTTCATGTATGATTTTCTTTCAATTTTATAATTCAGTTTTCATCTACTTCCAGACGTTTGAATAATCTAAAATTTAATGACGTATTAAAGCCGATACAACCAAAACAATAAAATTATTAAATCTAAGTATTCTCACGCGCATCATCAAAACACACGAACAGTGCATATTTTAAAGTTTTTTAATCTCAATTGTTTTTATCTCTAATATAAATATTTTTTACTTTATACTGTTCAATTTGAATAACAGTATAAATGAAATATATACACTATTAAAAACTATAATGACATAACTAAAACTAAAAATTAAATTATCATTCAATCCTACTCCCTGCGATATCGTTCCAAGAACGCTGGCTGCGTTTCCTCGCTGAATTCCAGTTCTTAGTCCTTGAGCGAGAAAAGAACCAGCCCTATTATCACCAGCAGCGCAGACCAGTTGCGAATATAGTTTCTTTAGAAACTTCACCGTACGTAGACCCCACGGACCAATCGCTCAGAGACTCATATTTGCACTACTTAGTTCAGCTGCCTCTGATGCCGCTCCGGGTTTAAACGATATATCCCTAAGATGAGAGGCTGCCAAAGTGTCTATGCATATATCATCCCACAAGGGCTTTCCTCTCATCAAGAGATCAAAATTATACCGTTATGTCTCTTGCCGTCGTTTTTAAATATTCCTTAAATTTTTAAAATATTTGGTAAATTACTTTATATCAAAGTTCCACTGTTGAACATCAGCCATAGATTGATGATGAAGATGGTGCTGCTCATGTCTTGCTTGATTTTCCTCTGTGGCCACCTGCGACACTCACAGCATGATATTTAATTGTTTATATTAAAAATGTCTGAGAATTGCTAGGTAAATAGGAAACACAAATAGAATAAAAAAGCTGTAGCTGTGGCAACACTGCTAGCGATGCATGCATGCTTCTTTTTCATTATCATCATCATAATCATTAACAATACGTAAAATTCCATTAATAGAGATGGGCCTTTCTCGTGAAAGGCAGGATTTGCCTTGAACGTCACGTTTGTCAACCATGTAATGGGGGTGTAAGAATATCCATTACGTCATATCGTTCGTCGTAAGAGGCTACAGCCGGAAATTTGTGAAATTGTGTCTTTATGATAATAATAAATCAAAATAATAAAAAACTGCAGTTGCCAATCCGCCTATCAAGTGTGGCAACTATGGCAGCAGCGGACTTCTTTAGGCTATAATGGTCACGCTTGTCAGGTGAATTGACGATCGCCTCATAGAAACGACGATGTATATTTAGCCAGGATTGTGCCAAATGTCAGAACGTAGATTCTGCTTACCCCTCTGGTTGTCAGGCGTGATAGTGTATGTGTAGAGTTTATGAATGTCTAACCATAACCAACTAAAATATGAAATGTATTTAACCATTTTAATTGATCAGAGAAATATTTGTTTTATATGTCCGGGCAAATAAATATAGTGTATCTTTGATTTCTATTTGATCGTCAACCCTAGAGACAGAATACAGAGCAGTACCGGAACTCAACCTTCGGCTCGGCCCCACTTCCTTCGAAACATTTCCCCAACTATATCTGTTCTTGTAATTTTTTTTTGTAATTTTATTTCTTCCTTTTTCCCGATGTTCAATCTTAAAGCTTGTCCCTAGACTATTTACAAGAATATTTCTTAAATCATTATTTGATTTCATAGGTAGTAAAGATATTAACACTTAACTAGTCGCTAATGGGTCCAACGAACCCATTTCTTATTATTTTGCTTGATACGAGTAACTATTAAAATTCGACGTTTGCAACATTGCCGCTCTTAGTAGGTACTTTTGAACGATAGTGTAGCACAGCAAATAACGATTTTGGTAGTAAGTTTAAAAAATTTCGGTATGATGTTGGAAAGTGTGATTTTACTTCAAAGTTGTTTTTTCGTTTTTTTTTTTTAAATTTCTATAATGATTTTACATGCCAAACGCAAGTGTGACTAACGAATCAAGAGCAAGTTTATCTGACACTATTCCGATGATATCTCGGACATCAGTCTGAGCGAGATTAGAATGGCTCTCTAACACCTTAAAAACGACAAGTACCCGGGCGAAGATGGAATTACAGCGGAGCTTCTGAAAGCGGGTGGACAACCGGTATTTGAAGTCCTTCAGAGGCTCTTTAATTCCGTCCTCCATGGTGGCATTACACCGGAGGCGTGGAGCAGAAGTGCGGTGGTCTTGTTATTCAAGAAAGGTGATAAAGCTCTCGTTTTTTTTTATAGAAGAGGGGGCAAACGAGCATGCGGCTCACCTCATGGTAAGTAACTACCCATGAACAACCGCAACACCAGGGGAATCGCAGATGCGTTGCCGGCCTTTTAGAAAGGTCTTTTCTTGAAGGTTCCTAAGTCGTATCGGTCCGGAAAATTCGCTGGTGGTAATTGATTCCACAAGGAAGTTGTGCGAGGTAGAAAACTTTTTCTAAATCGCACAGTAGTGGACCGCCAATCATCCAGATGGTATGGATGGTAACGCGAGTTTTGTCGCGATGTGCGATGGTGAAATTGAGCGGCTGGAATCAGTCCGAAGAATTCCTCAGAGCACTCCCCGTGATAGATGCGATAAAATACGCAAAGAGATGCAACATCTCTACGCAGTGCCACTGTATTGAGCCGATCAGAAAGAACTCTCTTGAAGAACTACAGAACGATTTTCCTTCTGAGCTGCGTCTACGTGCTGTTTTCGAGTCATTACGAATCGTCTCGCACGCAGACTCGACGATTTCCAGCCTCCCGAACAAGCCGAATTTGAAAAGGATTTAGCACCATAGACCACATATATACCTTTCGTCAAATTGTACAGAATACCAAAGAGTACAATTTTCAACGTTGCCTTGCGTATGTGGACTATGAGAAAGCCTTTGATTTCGTCGAATTTTGCTGCAGTCCCTCCAGCGGT